CTATAACTCGACGAGCTTATGCTGGGTCGAACAATCGATTGAGTTGAACTGGTTATGGATCGAGCTATAACCTCGCAACTTTCCAAGTTTGATAGAAAAATCATACACAACAAAGATAATTTTTAAAAATTTAAAATTACCCGATTATTAAACCACTACTATTTATATAATCAAATACTGTTTTATATTATTACAGATATCATAGGTGGTAAATATAATAACTTTCCAGAATATATAAACAAATTTAGACGTTATCTTATAAATCAAATTCATGAATACACAAGTAAAACAAAATAAATAAATAAAAAGAATTTTTTATTTATATATATGGGATTATTCCAAAAAAAAAAAAAAAAAAAAACGCTTTAAACCATATTTCTATAAACACCATATCCCCATAAGAAGATAAATATCAAATATAAACTTCTGCCAAGATTAAAACATGCACATTACAGGTAAATCATTTCTCAAATATCTGAAGTCATCCAACATTACTGTGAGACATCTAAATGCAATAACTTCAAAAGCCAGTAATATTATTTGTAAGTTATACTTTGACCTAGAAAGAAAAAGTACTAACGTACCTTCTAAAATCAAACCAGTAATGAACACACACGACTAATATAATAAAATTTAAAAAAAATTGAAAGCACATATCTAGCAGATCCCTTGCTCAGCATAGCTAAAACATAAATTAGACAGCAGTGCCTTACTGATGACATATCTCACAAGTTATATCTCCTTTCATTGCACCAACGCTGGACCATTCCTATGGGCAAACTGGATAAACAAAACATGTCAGCCTAGGTGAGACTATAAAACCATAAATTTCTGAAACAAAGTAAAATATATCTAACATAAAAGAGAAGAGAAATCCTTTACTCTATTCCACACATGTAAGTGTACATACATGGCAAGAAAATTGTTCAAGCATGCTCTAATTGAATGTGCTTTGTGCGTGGGTTTTGGTGTGTCCATATCTCCTTGAGACAAGGAATAGAAATTAATAACAAGATACATAACATACAAAAAGGATCTTGAATTACTAGAGAGTAATAAAAATCCTTCATAAGAAAAATGATAGAGACTCAACCTTAATATATTCTAAGCCGAACCCTACAAAGCAATTTCAAATAGGAGAGATTATAAAGATTAGTACCTTCAAACTGCCACTGCAAGCACATGGGACCTCTAAATTCTTAATGCTATCCTCCTCCTGGCATATGCGACATTCCACCATTTGAATAAGTGGTTCTTCTTCTTCAGATACACCATGTTCTCCACTCCCTCAACATCAATAGCACAGCCGGGGATCAGGAGCTTGGGAACTGGAACCCCACTGGATGATCCAGGGGCCTCATTCGTTTGCAGGGAATGCAAATTATCAGGCGTACAAGGCGGTCAACACACAAAATCAGGTGATCACTCATGATTCCTGTCATGATACACCACAAAAATCCAATAATACATTTTAGCCCAAACAATACGCCAAGCCACAATCACAATTCATCAGTAAACGACTTCACAAACTAGGTAACAAACTTTAAAACTCTTAACATCACGTGATCACCCACAAAGAATAAAGATCCTATCCTTTTCAATGCCATAACGAAAATACATAAGTACCAGAAAATGTCAAAAATTACATATTAAACCCTCAAATACACCTGTCAACATTACAAACCTCTGTTTGACAGTTCAAATAAATCAAAACCGAAACCGAAAAGTGAATTCTGCAGCTCTAATTACATTCCTGTACAATTATTTCTCTCAGCTGAATTTTAATTTTCAGCCAAACATAAATAAATAATAGATAAATAACCAATAATTTCACATTTCAATCTTATCAAAAACCAAGCAGAAAAATCCCACTTCAAATTCCCAAACCAAAAAATCACTAATTCATCTCCTCATCACACATAACCCCAAATCCCGAAGCTGAAATCTCGCAACACAATCAAACTACAAACGAAATCGAAGATTATTGAAGCGTAAGGAACATCAACAGACGAAAAATGGCAAAAATGAAGGAAAATACCTGCAAATAGGATTGTAAAAATCGGATTTTTGATCTGCGAACAAGTCTACGCTTTTGAAATGATAAAATTGAGAGGTTTTTGTGTTTTATGCTTTATATTATAACGAGCGGTTCGGTTTAAACGAAGCTGTGTAGGCTCGGTAACGTCCGTCCAAAGATAAGGTGAATATCACCGTTTGTCAGAGAATCACTGTTTGCATTTGTCGTAACGGACGTCAGCATAATTTTTAGAACTTTTATAAAATGGAATATTGGTTGAAATATTAAAAAATTAATTTGACCAATGAGTTCTTTTTACAAGTCAAATATTATGGGCATAAAATTAAACTTACGTCTTAAATCAAAGAAGAAATAGGATTACACAGCTTTGCAAATAAAAAATTGTTCAAGTAATTAATGGATTGGTTGATTAATTTATTTCTATTTATTATATTTATGATCCATATATGAAAGTCAAAAAGAAACTTTTTCTAAAGATTTTTCATTAATCTTTTATTTATATGGTAAATAAGAAAAATAATGACATCTTTGAATTGATGTCCCGTTAATTTATCTTCAAATAAACTAAAATAAAAATAATTAATCTACTATCAAATAATAATAAAGTAGTTTATTTAATTAAGACATTCTAAAAAGAAAATATATGACTTTTATTGGATTGAAGAATGCTTAAGAGCATCATAATGAATATTTAGGTGAAACATGTACCAATTATACATCACCTACTTGTAATGAAGAAAAATCCTAACTTTAATATTGAAGTTTGTTTTGTAGAAATATATACAAACAATTTTATATAATATGTTCTTGAATTAATAAAAAAAATTATAAAGTATATCTATCAATTACACTTTAGAATACTCTGCTACAATTTGGTATAAAGAATATTTAAAGAATCATACTAAGTTAATTAGAGGAATCCAGATATTAATTTTTCTTGTCAATAAATATAGTAATTATAATTTATATGTAATATTGTAATGATATCATAAAAAAGACTCCAACTTATTGAATCTAAAAAATATTGGAGAGTAAAAGAGCCGTTAGCGCGTTACGGAGAAAACACCTAACGTAAAACGACTCGTTCCTGGAAATAACATCCACCAATAAGACAGCCCCGGCATTCTCTTTATTTACTGTTTACCAATATTTATGAGACGATGAACTGATTTTCTGGTAAGATATTTCCAATGGCCTGCTTGACTTTGACCTTCTTTAAAGAAAGTAGCATGGAAGTCTTATGATTCTTGTATTAACTATTGCCTACTTGGCCACACAAGTTAATGACACGTGGAGTTCCTACCAAGAAATGAAGTTGGATTAAAAGTGCATACACTATAACTTTTTATGGCTATGATGGAATTGGTTCGTCTGGTAGGCTCGATTTTATGATTGATTAGATAAGATCATGATGGTGATGATGATCCACCAAACTCCTCTGCTTCTTGACGTTCCACCCGATCGTAAATCATCAAATACCTGCAAACAGTAAAATAACGGGAGTGAGCATAATTGCTAATAAGTAAACCAAACTGACTACTGTTTTTCCTCTTATCATGTTCTGATTTCCTTTTCTCACTTTAATCTTTGCTAATATTCTTCATTCTTTTCTGATATTTTCTTTTTTTTTCTGATATTCTGGTTTTTCTATTATCAACATGCAAAGACAATGAATAAAATTGTACATTGTCAGCACATAAGAAATGCTAAATCATGTAAGTGTAGTAACACAAATGCAAATAATAAACTTTTCTAAGAAAAGAACTTTCTTTTCTTTTCTGTTTTGTCTCTTTTGTTGTATCTTTTTTTTCTTTTCTGTTTTTGTTCTTATTATGTTTCTCTTCTTATTTCGTCTCTTTCTTTTCTTTTTTATTCTGGTTTGCTGATCGGACTAGGTTGAGGCTGGATTTGAACTTGCACGTGAGTGTATACTAGGTACAGTCCCATCTACACACTATTGACAACCGTACCGAGTCTCTCACGTTGAGGCCGCTCACGATGGCGGCGTGCATTAGTATGCTTGCTGGGTACAGTCTCATCCACATACACTACTGACGAACTGTAAAATACTGTATCTTCTCTGAGGCCGCTCACTAATGGCGGCGTGCATGTGGGCATCTCTGCCACTCACGGGTTTTCCATCGCAACAACCTTATAACATAACATGCTTAGAAAGAGAATAGAAAGAAATATATACTATTTCTAAATAAATTTCCAAGCTATAGAAATTTTACACTTCTCTGAGGTAAATAGAAAATATACATACTTGATGTTAGCTTAAAAGAAAACTACAACCATTTGCTTTTCTTTCTTTTCTCATTCTTGCTAACATATTCTTTAATATCCTCATTTACCAAATTAAGGCTATATATAAATCCTATGCCAATATATGCATGATCAACCCATTCTTTGATATTTTTAAGTTCACATATACAAACTTGAAAACTCATTATGCATAATGATATGTCATGACATATTCTACAATTCTCTACTATCACAATTGTCATATCAAAGTAAACTTTAACTTGCAATCCTTCTAACATTTCATGTGCTATTCAAAAAGTATAAGGTTCAAGTAACTAGAGTCAAACACTAAGGGTCATTTCTCTCATGAACTAACATGACAAGTGATATTCTAAATTTTGGCATAAACAATATGCACCTTGAATACTAAAATTTACATTGGTTAAGCCCAACATAATCTTTCTACCTCAATTCTTGCTTTCTTAACCTTTCTTCAATAGGGTTTAGCCAACTTATGTATGATTTTTCTCCTGGATTTTCATCAACACCCTATGCACATGCAAACTCATGTTGGCTGCACTTTCAATCTCTCTAAATCCACAAAATTTGAGCCAAAAACACTAACTATAGCATCAAACCTGGCCTTTCAACAATTCAACACTTCAAAATTTCAACACTAATTCTACCATAACTTCACCCCTCACCACATACTCATACACTACTTCTCATGGCTGAAAATTATGATCATTAATATAAAAAAAGCCAACAATTCACATACAATCACATAAAAACATGCAAGAATCATTCTACAAAGTCTTGCTCAAATCAAGGCTAAAATTGGGTTTACTTACCTTGAATGTGTGATATCACCTCCTTTGCTAAAAGTTCTCTCCTCTTGGACCTAGTCATATAAAAACCATAAAATTTAAAACTTTAAAGTTTAATCACACTCCTGTGCTAGAATCTTACCTTTGATGCTTTAGGATTGAAAATCTATAAAAATCCAAGCAAATCCTATGATTTCCCTTTGAAATTTAGTGAAAAAATGAGAGGAAATGGGGTGAGGGTGGGTGACAAGGGCTGAAGATATGGCTAGGGTTTCTTCCATGAAACTTATATCTAATATTATATCAATGTATAATCAATAAAAAATTTATTTCAAAGTTCTCCTGAGAAAGGTGGAGCCCAACACTAACCTGTCTTTGCCTTCGACGCTGCAATATACTGACAGCCCACGCCATTATATAACATGGAAGAAGAAAACCAGCAGCCCGGAGCAAGAAAAGCTGTAAAGCAGAAATTGTTTAATCAAACAAGATGATTGTGCATTATCAAAGACTAAAATGAACATTCATATCCAACTTACAGAGAAAAAGGTAGAAGCGTCATCCTCTCCATCTGAATTGGTGAGAGACAGTGCATGCCTTAAGAGAAGCAGAGCCATTAACTGCCAAAAAAGGGGAAAACTAATAGTTATTTATCACAATAAAATGTGAAAAGTAATGTTTTATTGGTAAATGAAAATAATCAACCAAAATAAAAAATCTAAAATTTTCTCATCCAATTGTGAGTATAGTATGTCCAAGTTGTTCTGACCCAACAACCTAGAGCAGGTTCTGGACCAAGCAGTGATTGATACAGTGACAGTAAAAAAGACATGGAAAAAACCGAAGGAAAGAAGGAGATGCATAACATAAGTAGCTGGTCAAGAACGAATATATTTCATCGATGAGCATGTGTTGCATCATTTTCTAATATAAAACGTTTCAGAAATAAAATAAAACAAACAAAAAAGATAGATTATTCTATATGCCTTGATCACATAATTCTGTGTACCATAATATAATAACAACTCATAAAAATTTCTTCTCATGAAAGAATAATAACTTACAATTAGGGCTGCAGAGCGGCAGAATGCAGCTCCACTAGCATTGCTGTCAGCATATTCATCGTACTCAGCCTCCAACAAATGACGTTCTGCTGCTGCCATCGCCAAAAGTCGAGGATCATGCAAGTCCAAGGGAGCACCAGAGACTGTCAAAGGCTCACTGTGTAACAAATTTGAGAAAACAAATGAACAAATTTTGAAACCAATGAGCATAAAATAGCCATCCAGCAAAACTGCAATATTCCATTCTTGATATTGATTTATACATGGAGAATTAAAATAAAAAATTTGATATCTTGACTGGGCCCCCCCACTTTTGCCTCATGTGAATATGCAATGACCCCCAATATATCCGTCGGTATAAAACAGGGTGACGTGCGGCAGAGATACAAGGAATCCAACATGGAAAGCAAGCCAGAGGTTCAAGTTACAAATATATTAAAAATTATCAATTGAGTCCTTCAGAAAATTCCAAAAAAGTAATTAAATAATGAAATAAAAAACCTTAAGACAAAGTGGCCAAGCATATGTATGATTAAAACTTGCCTGATATCAATTGTAGTATCTTCTGACTGAGGGGGAGGTGGTGGAGCAGTATAACCAGGTTGGTAAGGCTGTTATAACAAAAAAATTAAAGGCAGCTGTAAACAGATCAATTTTAGAATCAATTCAAAGCAGAACTTGTTTAAGCTTACCACATATGAACAACCAAACTAAACTTTCAACAAATGAACAAAAAATTGACTTAGCTATACTAAATGGATATGAAACCTGTTAAGTGCCAATTCCAATTCACTAATTAATAAGTGGCAAAAAAATATACAACTCAGAGACGTCATGAGAGACTATACTTCCCCTTTACTGAAACTGAAAAATAACCAATAATATCATACAGCTGATGCCAAATTCTAAAGAGAGTACAGAAAAGTACTGAAAGAAAAAGCAACAAGATCTTACACCTGATGCCACATTCCAATTTTAAAAAACACCATAAAAGCGTAACAAAAATTTTGAGATCCCAAACAAAACAGCCATACATATCAGGTTCAACACTATCATTTTCAAGGTAATATGCCTCATGCAACAAGAAGATTTCATGCAAGACAACTAAAGTTCAAGCAAAGTGTTGATATTCAAAGAGGAGGAGGAGGAGGAGGAGGAGGAGGAGAAGCAGAAGAAAAGAAGGAAAGAGAAAAAAATTCTTTAGAGACAGAAATTGACGATGCATGCAACTATAGAGAAGCATTAAGTTTTAAAGTGACCTTTCACTAGAGAAAACAGAGCAAAAAGAGCATTTATGGGATTATTCTATCAATAACAACCTTTTACTCCAATTACAAAGTTGATAATTTTGAGCTATGGTGGAGAGAATAATCTTTAAAATCAATGAAGTAATGGACAATGTGAAAACACAAAAATTTACTCCTACTTTTGAGATTTCTTGAGATCTTACTTTGTTTCTTACCTAAGATTTCCTATTAAGATATAAAGAATCAAGAATAAGTTCGCCAATTTTCAAGCATTATGCAACATAAAAAACACCTCAACATTTTCAGGAAGAGAGTAAAAAAGTCTAGTTCACTAAAAACTATCACCAATTCGTTTTCAATGTATAATTTATTTTTTCAGCATCAAGTTCTTTGGTGTCAAGCAATCCACTTGCACATGCGAATTTCTTGAAGACAGAGGAGAAGTGATCCTATTGTTTATGCCCTCCTTTCCCCTCCAACACTAGGAACTAAAGTCGGGGATTATTCCAAAAAAAAAAAAAAGAAAAAAACTGCTTTAAACCATATTTCTATAAACACCATATCCCCATAAGAAGATAATATATCATAATATAAACTTCTGCCAAGATTAAACATGGCACATTACAAGGTAAATCATTTCTCCAAATATCTGAAGTCATCCAACATATTACTGTGAGACATCTAAATGCAATAACTTCAAAAGCCAGTAATATTATTTGTAAGTTATACTTTGACCTAGAAAGAAAAAGTACTAACTGTACCTTCTAAAATCAAACCAGTAATGAACACACACGACTAATATTAATAAAATTTAAAAAAAAAAATTGAAAGCACATATCTAGCAGATCCCTTGCTCAGCATAGCTAAAACATAAATTAGACAGCAGTGCCTTACCTGATGACATATCTCACAAGTTATATCTCCTTTCTCATTGCACCAACGCTGGACACATTTCCTATGGGCAAACTGGATAAACAAAACATGTCAGCCTAGGTGATGACATATAAAACCATAAATTTCTGAAACAAAGTAAAATATATCTAACATAAAAGAGAAGCAGAAATCCTTTACTCTATTCCACACATGTAAGTGTACACTACATGGCAAGAAAATATGTTCAAGCATGCTCTAATCGAATGTGCTTTGTGCGTGGGTATTGGTGTGTCCATATTCTCCTTGAGACAAGGAATAGAAATTAATAACAAGATACATAACATACAAAAAGGATCTTGAATTACTAGAGAGTAATAAAAATCCTTCATAAGAAAAATGATAGAGCATCACACCTTAATATATTCTAAGCCGAACCCTACAAAGCAATTTCAAATAGGAGAGATTATAAAGATTAGTACCTTCAAACTGCCACTGCAAGCACATGGGACCTCTAAATTCTTAATGCTATCCTCCTCCTGGCATATGCGACATTCCACCATTTGAATAAGTGGTTCTTCTTCTTCAGATACACCATGTTCTCCCACTCCCTCAACATCAATAGCACAAGCCGGTGGATCAGGAGCTTGAGAACTGGAACCCTCACTGGATGATCCAGGGGCCTCATTCGTTTGCAGGGAATGCAAATTATCAGGCGTTACAAGGCGGTCAACACACAAAATCAGGTGATCACTCATGATTCCTGTCATGATACACCACAAAAATACCAATAATACATTTTAGCCCAAACAATACGCCAAGCCACAATCACAATTCATCAGTAAACAGACTTCACAACTAGGTAACAAACTTTAAAACTCTTAACATCACGTGATCACCCACAAAGAATTAAAGATCATTATCCTTTTCAATGCCATAACGAAAATACATAAGTACCAGAAAATGTCAAAAATTTACATATTAAACCCTCAAATACACCTGTCAACCATTACAAACCTCTGTTTGACAGTTCAAATAAATCAAAACCGAAACCGAAAAGTGAATTCTGCAGCTCTAATTACATTCCTGTACAATTATTTCTCTCAGCTGAATTTTAATTTTCAGCCAAACATAAATAGATAAATAGATAAATAACCAATAATTTCACATTTTCCTAATCTTATCAAAAACCAAGCAGAAAAATCCCACTTCAAATTCCCAAACCAAAAAATCACTAATTCATCTCCTCATCACACATAACCCCAAATCCCGAAGCTGAAATCTCGCAATCACAATCAAACTACAACGAAATCGAAGATTATTGAAGCGTAAAGGAACATCAACAAGACGAAAAATGGCAAAAATTGAAGGAAAATACCTGCAAATAGGATTGTAAAAATCGGATTTTTGATTCTGCGAACAAGTCTACGCTTTTGAAATGATAAAATTGAGAGGTTTTTGTTTTTGTTTTTATGCATTTATATTTATAACGAGCGGTTCGGTTTAAACGAAGCTGTGTAGGCTCGGTAACGTCCGTCCAAAGATAAGGTGAATATCACCGTTTGTCAGAGAATCACTGTTTGCATTTGTCGTAACGGACGTCAGCATAATTTTTAGAAACTTTTATAAAATGGAATATTGGTTGAAATATTAAAAAAATTAATTTGACCAATGAGGTTTTCTTTTTACAAGTCAAATATTATGGGCATAAAATTAAACTTAACGTCTTAAATCAAAGAAGAAAATAGGATTGACATTGCTATAGCTTTGTCAAATAAAACTTTGTTCAAGTAATTAATGGATTGGTTGATTACATTTATTTCTATTTATTATAATTTATGATCCATATATGAAAGTCAAAAAGAAACTTTATTCTAAAGATTTTTCATTAATCTGTTTAATTTTATACGGTAAATAAGAAAAATATATGACATCTTTGACTTTTTTGATGTCCCGTTTAATTTATCTTCAAATAAACTAAAATAAAAATTAATTAATCTACTATCAAATAATAATTAAAGTAGTTTATTTTAATTAATGACATTCTAAAAAGAAAATAATATGATTTTTATTAGGATTGAAGAATGCTTAAGAGCATCATAATGAATATTTAGGTGAAACATGTACCAATTATACATCACCTACTTGTAAATGAAGAAAAATCATAACTTTAATATTGAAGTTTGTTTAGAAAATATTATACAAACAATTTTATATAATATGTTCTTGAAATTAATAAAAAAAAATATTATAAAGTATATCTATCAATTACACTTTAGAATACTCTGCTACAATTTGGTATAAAGAATATTTTAAAGAATCATACTAAGTTAATTAGAGGAATCCAGATATTATATTTTTCTTGTCAATAAATATAGTAATTATAATTTATATGTAATATTGTAATGATATCTTATAAAAAAGACTCCAACTTTATTGAATCTAAAAAAATATTGGAGAGTAAAAGAGCCGTTAGCGCTGTTACGGAGAAAACACCTAGACGTAAACCCGACTCGTTCCTGGAAATAACATCCACCAATAAGACAGCCCCGGCATTTCTCTTTATTTACTAGTTTACCAATATTTATGAGACTGAACTGTTTTCTGGTAAGATATTTCCAATGGCTTGCTTGACTTTGACCATTCTTTAAAGAAAGTAGCATGGAAGTCTTATGCATTCTTGTATTAACTCATTGCCTACTTGGCCACACAAGTTAATGACACGTGGAGTTACCTACCCAAGAAATGAAGTTGGATTAAAAGTGCATACACTATAACTTTTTTATGGCTATTGATGAATTGGTGTCTTGGTAGGCTCGATTTTATGATATGATTAGATAAGATCATGATGGTGATGATGATCCAGCGGCCACCAAACTCCTCTGCTTCTTGACGTCCCACCCGATCGTAAATCATCAAGTACCTGCAAACAGTAAAATAACGGAGTGAGCACTAATTGCTTAATAAGTAAACCAAACTGTACTACTGTTTTTCCTCCATTATTCATGTTCTGATTTCATTTTCTCACTTTAATCTTTGCTAATATTCTTCATTCTTTTCTGATATTTTACATTCTTTTTCTGATATTCTGGTTTGCTACTTATCAACATGCAAAGACAATGAATAAAATTGTACATTGTCGAGCACATAAGAAATGCTAAATCATGTAAGTAGTATAACACATATGCAGAATAATAAACTTTTCTAAGAAAAGAACTTTCTTTTCTTTTCTGTTTTTTGTCTCTTATGTTGTATCTCTTTATTTTCTTTTCTGTTTTTGTTTCTTATTATGTTTCTCTTTCTTATTCTGTTCCTCTTTCTTTTCTTTTTTATTCTGGTTTGCTGATCGGACTAGGTTGAGGCATGGATTTGGAACCTTGGCCACGTGAGTGTATACTAGGTACAGTCCTCATCTACATACACTATTGACAAACCGTACCGATGTTGTATCTCTCAGTTGAGGCCGCTCACCGATGGCGACGTGCATATATGTATGCTCTGCTGGGTACAGTCCTCATCCACATACACTACTGACGAACTGTACAAATACTGTATCTCTCTACTGAGGCCGCTCACTAATGGCGTCGTGCATGTGGGCATCTCTGCCACTCACGGGTTTTCCATCGCAACAACCTTATAACATAACATGCTGTAGAAAGAGAATAGAAAGAAATACTATACATATTTCTAAATAAATTTCCAAGCTATAGAAATTTTACACTTGCGTTCTTGAGTAAATAAGAAAATATACATACTTGCATGTTAGCTTAAAAGAAAACTACAAGCCATTTGCTTTTCTTTCTTTTTCTCATTCTTTGCTAACATATTCTTTAATATCCTCATTTACCAAATCAAGGCTATATATAAAATCATATGCACAATATATGCATGATCAAACCCATTCTTTGATATTATTTTCAAGTTCACATATACAAACTTGAAAACTCATTATGGCATAATGATATGTCATGACATATTCTACAATTCTCTACTATCACAATTGTCATATCAAAGTAACACTTTAACTTGCAATTCCTTTCTAACATTTTCATGTGCTATTCCAAAAGTAATAAAGGTTCAAGTAACTAGAGTCAAACACTAAGGGTCATTTCTCTCATAGAACTAACATGACTAAGTGATATTCTAAATTTTGGCATAACAATATGCACCATTGAATACTAAAATTTACATTTGGTTAAGCCCAACATAATCTTTCTACTTCAATTCTTGCCTTTCTCTAACCCTTTCTTCAATAGGGTTTAGCCAACTCATGCATGTATTTTTCTCCTTGGATTTTCATCAAACACTTCATATGCACATGCAACTACCATGTTAGCTGCACTTTCACATCTCTCTAAATCTACCAAAATTTGAGCCAAAAACTTACTAACTATAGCATCAAACCTGGCCTTTTTCAACAAATCTCAACACTTCAAAATTTCAACACTAATTCTACCATAACTTCACCAAATCACCACATACTCATACACTACTTCTCATGGCTGAAAATTATGCATCATTAGATATCAAAAACAGCCAACAATTCTCACATACAATCACATAAAAACATGCAAGAATCATTCTACACAAGTCTTGCTCAAATCAAGGCTAAAATTGGGTTTACTTACCTTGAATGTGTGATATCACCTCCTTTTGCTAAAAGTCTCTTCCTCTTGAACCTAGATCATATAAAAACCATAAGAATTTAAAACTTTAAAGTTTAATCACACTCCCTGTGCTAGAATCTTACCTTTAGATGCTTTAGGATTGAAAATCTATAAAAATCCAAGGCAAATCCTATGATTTCCCTTTGAAATTTAGTGAAGAAAATTAAGAGAAAATGGGGTGAGGGTGGCGTGTACAAGGGCTGAAGATATGGCTAGGGTTTCTTCAATGAAACCTTATATCTAATATTATATCCATGTATTCCCATTTTGCCCTTGCACTTTCTATGAAATTCCTTCTATATCTTTTAGTCAATTACCAAAATACCCTCATTTTTATTATCTTCTTCACATTATTTTGCTTCCTTTCACTTCCCACTATTTCATCTAATTATGAGTGAAAAGACCATTTTACCCCTAATGAAGTTTTAAGGAATTTCCTTCACATTTGTCTAAGGTAACTTCAAAGAAATCCAACTAAGAGTATTAGGACATAAATAAAATTACGTACCTTGATGTAGGTGTTACTATCTGATAAAACCTTGCAGGCTCACATGGTCTTCACTTTGGAGCTCTTTGCACAACTCTGTTTGTGGCCCGATGCCCCCAATTAGCAAAGTTCGGATTGATTCCTCAGGTGCATCCGTAACCTTTGCTTGCTCATTTTGGAACCTCGTCAAATACAAGGTTAGTGTTTCATCTCTTTCTTGATGAATATTGCTCAGGTAGTTGAGCGACATTGCAAACTGTCTCTTCGCTTGGAATTGTTGTAGGTACAATGAGGAGAACTATTGCCAAGAGCTAATTGAGTTTGCCTTGAGCTTTTTGTACCACCTCTTGGCATCCCCTACCAATGTGACCGCGAAGTAGTGACATTTTGCCAAATCACACACCTAGTGCAGCTCCATCAGGTCGTTGAAAGTGTCGAGGTGGTCTTTGGGATCTTCTTTCCTATCGAACTTACTTTCTAGCGCCTTGAATCCTTGGGGAAACGGGGCCTGGTGAACTTCCTCTAAGAAGGGGGAGCTCATTATCTCTTCCGCTACATTGTTCTGGCAGACTCTTAGATCATCGAGCATTTTCTGTACCTGATCCAAGTCTTCGTTGTGAGGATTGCCTTGCTTGGCTTTGTTCAGCCTTACCTCGAGCAGGTAAGTTCGTAAATCTGTTGTTTGTGAGCCCCTTCCATTGTTCGCATTGATGCGCGAGGTTGAGTCATGATGGTTAGGCTGGTAAGTGCTATCATACTCATCAATGCATTGCTCGCAACGTTGGTTATAACTGGAACGTCGGTCATTGCCAGATTCACGAACATGACTCATCTCGTGAGATTGTGATGATTGAGCCTGCCTTGGCCATGGGTTAAAACTGGCACGCTGACGGTGGGGATACTGCCGAGTAGGTTGGATATCCCTCTAACGACCATATTCTTCGTCTTCTCCTATGAGCTGTTTGCCCTATCGCCTCTCGAGGTTAGTTTACTTGTGGGACTCTCATTTTTGTGCAGAATGTTCCTGGCGGTGCCGGGTCATTGACCGTGCCTTGGTTCCAACGAACCAGATTCGTCGTCGACCGACTTCTGACCTATTGTGGTAACATTGGTGAAGCGCGACTAGTCAAGGTCTTAGGGGGCTAGCTGCTGATTTCTAAGCTTAGCCACATTTTGTTGCACAGCCTGTGCGACCATCGTTTTGATCATCTCCACCAAATTGGCCATCATCGGGATTTAACGTCCATATCCCCAGTTGGTTCGCGGCCTGCTACACCGGCTACACTAGTGGTCGAAGTTCAGCGACGTCTTGGTGCACCTCTTGGTGGATGGTCTCCACATTGTCATGGTTTTCGGTAGTGGTCTTTAATCTGGTTCAATCCATCGTGGGCCTTAAGTGATTGGGTCACTAGGGTGTATTTGTTGAAAATTCTTAAATTTGACAGAGGCCTTCTTTCTAACGCTAAAATTTTGTTGCAAAATATACAAACTAGAACGATCCGATCGACCTTGACGGGATTAGAACTAATGTGTTCGTGATTACGGGTAACCAGTAAAGTATGAATAGAAAAATGGAGTAAGGTAAATGGCACAATGAGTTTAAAGTGGTTCGGCTCTAGAGCCTATGTCCACTATTTTTGTATTTACTGTGAGAGCTTACAATAATAATCCTATAACAATTTTCTTACCCTTATCTCATTGTTGGAAGAGGTTATATACAAATTCCATACAAAGGAAAAAGCGAAAATAAAAGGATTATAATTAAGATTGAAATGCAACTCTGATATTCTCACAATTGAGCGCTGAGATTGCACTATGATTGCTGTCGATCTGATCCCTTCCGAGATATCCGGGATCTGAAGTTATTTGTGAACTGGTTGAACAACTATAAGGATTGATCATGACTAGCTTGTGCTAGGTTGAGCTATAACTCGACGAGCTTATGTTGGCTTGGACAATCGATTGAGTTGAACTGATTATGGATCGAGCTATAACCTCGCAACTCTCCGAGTTTGATGGAAAAATCACACACAATAAAGATAATTTTTAAAAATTTAAAATTACCCAGTTATTAAATCAGTACTATTTATATAATCAATTACTGTTTAATATTATTACAGATATCATAGGTGGTAAATATAATAACTTTCCAGAATATATAAACAAATTTGGATTATCTTATAAATCAAATTCATGAATACACAAGTAAAACAAAATAAATAAATAAAAAGAATTTTTTATTTATATATACATTTTTTTTTTTAATTTCTCTTTTTTTTTTTTTTTTTTTTTATTCCTGTTTTGTTCTTTTAATTTTTTCTTTTATCCTTCTATTTAAAAAAATCATATAAATACACCAAAAGGTCATACTTCTACTACTTTAAACTGACAAGGGTTTTTACAAAATCTAGGGTTTTAGTTTTAAACAAAGAAGAGACATGGCGGAGGAAGCAGCGAAAGAAATCAACGAAACCAACGCGGCCACGGAAGACATGGATCTCGTAGCAGGCGGAGACGAAAACGTTGAGTCTAAGGCGAAGCGAGCGAGAAAGGAGGAAGAGGAGGGGGACGGTAACGGTGATGTTTCGAAGAAGCAGAAGGTTGATGAGAACGAGAAGTCGATGGAGGAGGAGCGGTTGGAGGAAAAATCAGGAGGTGCGGAGGAGAAAAATGGATCGGGTCGGGTCAATTTGGGCCCGAAGGTGTTCGGATCGTCGGTTGAGATGTTCGATTACTTTTACAAGATTCTTCACTTTTGGCCTCCCAATTTGAACGTCAACAAGGTATCATTTTAGTTTTGTTTATTTTAAGAGATTTAGAATTTAAGTAATTGATAACTAACAGTTAAGAAAGGTATTTGGTTTTGAATTAATGAACTGAAGTGCGCGACGAGCAATAAATGTTAATTTTGGGGAAAATATGAAAGAAAATTATGCCAAGTAAATTTTGTGCGATTGTTTGGCTTTGTGAAGTTTAGTTTTTCAAATCAAACTTGTAACTTCTAATAATGCGGTAATATGATAACGTATTGTGACTTGACGCTTTTGGGGTTAGAAGGTATACATTTGTTGTTTTGCTTGATAGCAGAGTCATCATTGTACATGCAGATCATACGTTTTATATGTAGTTGAGGTTATATTCTAATTAAAATTTGTCTTCTGATACGTATAAATATGGATTCACGCATGCACACGTTGATCTTGAAACAATATTGAAGTTATGTGATTGTATAATGTATGCGGAATTGAAGGGAAAAACTTTAAGAAGAACTGTGAAGAGAAATAAGTCAGAGCTATGGTGTGGATGTAGTTGTGGCATTTGAAAAAGCTTTTACAAGATGAACATTTTCAATTTCAGGATTTTAAGATTTTGGGGCACATAAGCATTGGCTTCATGATTTTGTCTTTCTTTTGATTAGACATCTGCTATGTGGTATGTAGCTGTTTCTAGCTACACTCAGAGTGCGATTTGACATAGTTAGTTTTCTGTTGATATTAAATAGCTCTCTGTTAAGAATGAATCAACTTCGTATGAGGTGCCCTTTTTATTTATTATTTTTTCGTGTTTGGGCTAAATATTTATAAATGACTGTCATGTGTCGAGTAATTAGAGACATCTGCACTGGTAATGGGTGGGATGGAGCTAAGGGATGAGTAGAACAGATATTTTAATTGTACCTATCACATTGAAAAACTCAGTACAGTGTTTGCTTTTAGTTTAGACTGAGCTTAAAGTTACAATCTTTCTAATTGCTTCTTGGCTTGCAAATGGCAACGTACTTCTAAGTCAATGGAGTTACTGGATTGTGTTGTACATTCCTTTTATATGTGTAGTTCTTTGTGCTTGAATGTTGGTTTGTACTAGATTCCATTCTGATTATATGCATAGTTTTTTTCATTAAACTTGTGCTGGATTGTTGGTTTTTACTAAACTATTTCATGATCAGTATGTGCAGTATTTTAAATTGAACTTGTCCTTGTGTTCGGTGTGTGTTTCAGTATGAGTACATGGTGTTGCTAGAGTTGCTGAAACAAGGTCATGCAGAAGCTGACAGGAAGATTGGAGGAGGAGTCCAAGCTATCCAAGTCCAATACCACCCAAGTTGGAAAAGTAGGTGCTTTTATCTTATTAGAGAGGATGAATCCGTAGAAGATTTCAGCTTCAGGAAGTGTGTGGATCAAATACTCGCTTTACCTGAAGACATGAAAAATAAAGTTGATGCGAACAAGGCATTGGGTGGTGGTGGGGGCAAGGGTCGTGGAGGAAAAAGTGGCCATGGAAGAGGTGGGCATGGCCGTGGAAGAGGTGGTAAGTGGAGGAACTGAAGTATTTGTCTTAAAATTATAGGGGATGGAGTTGGGTGTCCGATTGAAAATGGTTCACAGACTCATCTTCTTTCTATCCAGCTTTCAATTTCTTTTGGTATTAATGACTTGTGGCGGTAAATTTTTTGTCCCCATTTGATTTCCCTTTATTTATGCGAAGAAGTAGTTTTATTTTCACAATGGATTTAAATCATGAATCAATGGGTGATTGCAAGGCCGGGCCGTGTAAATTGGATTTGATTAAAGCCTGCTCACTTAAATATGATGAGTAGAATCTCTTATTAATTAGTTGAGTTGTGGGGTTAATTGGTGATTAAGAAAGTGGGAGATGAGAAGTGTAACTTCTTTCCTCAATTTTAAAAGCTAATAATAAGATACCACTCATAGACAATCAAGGGAATAATTTAATTAATTTATCAGCGCAGTTATATATATATATATATATATATAACCTCCGACTGCAGTGAGTCATTTTCATTAATAATATCATAATTAATGTTAATAATTTCATCTTCTTTATTTATAAATGAACGGAACGTTACAATATATAGTTTAACAATGATTGTTTTAATTTATACAATAGAAATCTTTTAAAGGGTTTGGATAAAATACATATTAAACAAGAATCAACCTCAATTGTTTCTTAAATCAAGTAATTTTTTGGAACCTTAATATATAATAATTTCAGCCACGAATTTGAAGACAAATGACATCATCAATTTAACAGCAAACACACCCATGCTGAAGTAATTAAAAAAAAAAAAAAAAAGAGTAACAGATAATATAGATTAACAATGGTAATTATTAAGCTGGCTCGAGAAAAGTTGGCGGAGATAAGTAATAATAATGTTTATTGAAATTAGTGCCTTAAAAATTATAGATAAACACCAAACACTCTACTTGTATAGATCAAATGCCTTGTACGTGTTGCCCATGCATTCATTCCTATCTCCATTATGATTGATGAAAAATCCTGTTTTAAGGTTTGGTACGCAACCCTGAGATTAAAGGAGTATTTAGCATCAATAATAAAACCAGGTATACATATCGAACTTAATTTCGAGTATTTTTATGAATATGTATTATTATATATCATCATGAGTAAATGCCCTTCTCTCTATAATAAAAGTGGAAAATAAATAAATAATCTAGTAACTCTCGCATACACACACGGTAATCAATAATGATATTAATGCATAATTCTCATTCATTCATTCATGCATGGCCGGTTTTTATCCCATGAGACGGCGCACGATCTTCAAGAATTTATTACTCCAATTACATTCCATATATATCATTCATCTTCATCTTCATCTTCCCTCAACACCACTTTTACTCCATTCTTTCATATTTTCTTCTCACTACAGAAATACAAGAATCCCATCCAACACTTCTTATTTTCTAACAAATATGGACTCTCACCCTTGGAACAACTATGAACTTGTTGCAAAATAGGAGCAAGATCCCTTTGTTTTTCTTTCACAACTTCCATCACTGGATATGGGGTAAGATTAGGGTTTGTGTTATTATACTGACTTCAATATTCGGTTAATAAGTTTGAATCCTTCCTGTTTTTCTTCCAGAATGGAACATTGGCAGAATGAAATGTCCATTCAGCAAAGCTTTATAAATAGTGCTCCTTTGATGGACAACTTACCCGATCCTTTGTATTCATCACTGGATATTGTTTCAACCCCAGGGGTGAATCAAGGTGAGATATTCACATACATATATAATAATGTAAATAGATTAATTTGAACTAATTATTATTACGTTTTCTTATTGTCACTGCAGGGGATATGATGTTTTGCGATTATGGAAACGCGTTTGGCTCGTGGAGTGAGTTGGGTCCTTTATTTGAGCCCGAGAGACAGCAGGTAACAATGCCGTGTAACAATGGAGGAACATTTTCAGAAACGAAAAATGAAAATAAGGAAATTAGAAGGTCCAAAGAAGAAAAGATTGGAAGTACTGAAAGTCCAAAAACTTTGTCTAGAAAAACTATTTCAAAGTACTTCTACATGCCAATAACGAGAGCCGCTAAAGAACTCAACGTTGGGTTGACACTGTTGAAGAAAAGATGTAGGGAATTGGGAATCAGAAGGTGGCCGCATCGGAAACTTATGTCGCTTCAAACCCTAATCAATAATGTTCAGGTTTTTTTCTCTCTGTGAATCTATCTTTCTCTTCTTATAGTGTAATAATAAAAATCTTATAAAATTTTTGTTTTACAAAGTAATGTAACAAAAAATATAGTTTGATTTTTTATATTCATTTTCTATCACCTTAGGTTTGTATACGTATAACATTATTGTTCTCTTTTATATATATATATATATATATATTTTAAATGTAATGCGGAAGTTGCTTAATTGTACAGGAGTTGGAGGAGGAGGGAGAGAGGACTGAAGGGAAATTGAAAGAAGCAATAAAGGTGTTAGAGAGAGAAAAGAAAATGATGGAGGAGTTGCCAGACCTACAAATGGAGGAAAAAACAAAGAGGTTAAGGCAAGCGTGTTTCAAGGCGAACTACAAGAAGAGGAAGCTGATGGGAATGGGGATGATGGATTCAATGCAGGGTTCTTCTAGTGGCAGTAGTCGTGCAGTTCTAGAAGGGAGTTTTGCGTATGAGATTGATGATGAAGAAGATGAGGTGCTTAGAGCTCTCTTTTCCGACTCTTCTTCCAACAATACTATTTCCTGATTGTTTAGGATGTGAAAAAGAATACTTTGTTTAAATACAGTAATGTATGTGTTGCACAGATGTACTATTAGTGTTACTTTTATTTTTAGAATATGAATGGGGGTTTTTTTTTTTTTTTTTTTCTTCAATTTGATTTGGGTAAAGAGCAATTCTTAATCACATGCTTTGTAATAATTTGAATATGCTTAGTCTTGGAAATCAGCGGTTTCCGGACCTTAGTTAATATCAAAATCAGAAAATGACTGATAATTAGAAATCAGTATTTTAATCTAAATTAATTTTAGATATTCAGAACTAGAGATCATATTAATNAGTTTGGATAAAATACATATTAAACAAGAATCAACCTCAATTGTTTCTTAAATCAAGTAATTTTTTGGAACCTTAATATATAATAATTTCAGCCACGAATTTGAAGACAAATGACATCATCAATTTAACAGCAAACACACCCATGCTGAAGTAATTAAAAAAAAAAAAAAAAAGAGTAACAGATAATATAGATTAACAATGGTAATTATTAAGCTGGCTCGAGAAAAGTTGGCGGAGATAAGTAATAATAATGTTTATTGAAATTAGTGCCTTAAAAATTATAGATAAACACCAAACACTCTACTTGTATAGATCAAATGCCTTGTACGTGTTGCCCATGCATTCATTCCTATCTCCATTATGATTGATGAAAAATCCTGTTTTAAGGTTTGGTACGCAACCCTGAGATTAAAGGAGTATTTAGCATCAATAATAAAACCAGGTATACATATCGAACTTAATTTCGAGTATTTTTATGAATATGTATTATTATATATCATCATGAGTAAATGCCCTTCTCTCTATAATAAAAGTGGAAAATAAATAAATAATCTAGTAACTCTCGCATACACACACGGTAATCAATAATGATATTAATGCATAATTCTCATTCATTCATTCATGCATGGCCGGTTTTTATCCCATGAGACGGCGCACGATCTTCAAGAATTTATTACTCCAATTACATTCCATATATATCATTCATCTTCATCTTCATCTTCCCTCAACACCACTTTTACTCCATTCTTTCATATTTTCTTCTCACTACAGAAATACAAGAATCCCATCCAACACTTCTTATTTTCTAACAAATATGGACTCTCACCCTTGGAACAACTATGAACTTGTTGCAAAATAGGAGCAAGATCCCTTTGTTTTTCTTTCACAACTTCCATCACTGGATATGGGGTAAGATTAGGGTTTGTGTTATTATACTGACTTCAATATTCGGTTAATAAGTTTGAATCCTTCCTGTTTTTCTTCCAGAATGGAACATTGGCAGAATGAAATGTCCATTCAGCAAAGCTTTATAAATAGTGCTCCTTTGATGGAGAACTTACCCGATCCTTTGTATTCATCACTGGATATTGTTTCAACCCCACGGGTGAATCAAGGTGAGATATTCACATACATATATAATAATGTAAATAGATTAATTTGAACTAATTATTATTACGTTTTCTTATTGTCACTGCAGGGGATATGATGTTTTGCGATTATGGAAACGGGTTTGGCTCATGGAGTGAGTTGGGTCCTTTATTTGAGCCCGAGAGACAGCAGGTAACAATGCCGTGTAACAATGGAGGAACATTTTCAGAAACGAAAAATGAAAATAAGGAAATTAGAAGGTCCAAAGAAGAAAAGATTGGAAGTACTGAAAGTCCAAAAACTTTGTCTAGAAAAACTATTTCAAAGTACTTCTACATGCCAATAACGAGAGCCGCTAAAGAACTCAACGTCGGGTTGACACTGTTGAAGAAAAGATGTAGGGAATTGGGAATCAGAAGGTGGCCGCATCGGAAACTTATGTCGCTTCAAACCCTAATCAATAATGTTCAGGTTTTTTTCTCTCTGTGAATCTATCTTTCTCTTCTTATAGTGTAATAATAAAAATCTTATAAAATTTTTGTTTTACAAAGTAATGTAACAAAAAATATAGTTTGATTTTTTATATTCATTTTCTATCACCTTAGGTTTGTATACGTATAACATTATTGTTCTCTTTTATATATATATATATATATATATTTTAAATGTAATGCGGAAGTTGCTTAATTGTACAGGAGTTGGAGGAGGAGGGAGAGGGGACTGAAGGGAAATTGAAAGAAGCAATAAAGGTGTTAGAGAGAGAAAAGAAAATGATGGAGGAGTTGCCAGACCTACAAATGGAGGAAAAAACAAAGAGGTTAAGGCAAGCGTGTTTCAAGGCGAACTACAAGAAGAGGAAGCTGATGGGAATGGGGATGATGGATTCAATGCAGGGTTCTTCTAGTGGCAATAGTCGTGCAGTTCTAGAAGGGAGTTTTGCGTATGAGATTGATGATGAAGAAGATGAGGTGCTTAGAGCTCTCTTTTCCGACTCTTCTTCCAACAATACTATTTCCTGATTGTTTAGGATGTGAAAAAGAATACTTTGTTTAAATACAGTAATGTATGTGTTGCACAGATGTACTATTAGTGTTACTTTTATTTTTAGAATATGAATGGGGGTTTTTTTTTTTTTTTTTTTCTTCAATTTGATTTGGGTAAAGAGCAATTCTTAATCACATGCTTTGTAATAATTTGAATATGCTTAGTCTTGGAAATCAGCGTTTTCCGGACCTTAGTTAATATCAAAATCAGAAAATGACTGATAATTAGAAATTAGTATTTTAATCTAAATTAATTTTAGATATTCAGAACTAGAGATCATATTAATCCTCTAGAAAGTCTGATGCCATTTATGGACAGAAACCGGCTAGAGAGATGAGAAAAACCTGCATAAGTGCGGCCACTTATATGTATAGGATATACAGTATTTGCTTAGAAACGAAGTTTTCTTGTTTAAACATGATGAAGCTATTGCATGCTAATCAAATGTAATATATATGTCATTTGGGTTAAGTCTTTGGGGAAAGTTGTTTACTTTAAGACCTTGAAAAATTTATTGAGATTTGTGTAAACTAGTTCGAATACCTTGATTGCTAAATGTCACTAAAAAAAATATTCAACTCTAGGGTGGTCGAAGTATAGATTAAATTTTTAAAATTGAATTAATGAGAGGTATATAAATTTCAGTTAGTTGAAATTTAAGAATAAAAGACTTATAAATGTTTGAAAGATTGTTCTTGAGAAAATCAGCAACTTGTATGCATTCTAAAGACACCAGTCACGGCAAGCTTAGGGATGTGTGTGGTGTGGCTCCGCCCATGTTTATAAACCAAACAAAAAGTTTCAGAAATAAAATGACAGTAATGTCATATTTCTTAACCTTACATCCTTCCTCTCTTAATCTCCGTTTCTACCTTTCTGTTTCTTGTTTTACCACCCTCACTAACCTATTTCCAACAACATCTTCACAAAACCAACTCAACATTACTAAACAAACACAAAAACATTTGATTTCACTCATAAAATCATGTAGCAAAAAGACCCATTTCCTCCAAATCCATGCCCACATCATCCTTACATCTCTCATTCAAGACCCCACCATTTCTCTTCACTTGTTGTCCCGCATTTCCTTCTCTCCCTTCCGCGAAACTCGTTATTCCCGCCAAATATTCGATCAAATACCTAACCCGAATGTGTCTCATTTCAACACTATTATAAGAGCTTACTCTATCAGTAACTCACCCGAACAAGCCTTTTATTTGTTTAAAAATATGAGAAAAAAATGCGTGCCCACAAGCCCGTTAACGTGTTCTTTTGCAATTAAGTCTTGCATTAGGTTTTGTTCACTGATAGGTGGTGTACAAATTCACTCAAGAATTTTGAGAGATGGGTATCAATCAGATAGTCTTTTAATGACTACTTTGATGGATTTTTATTCAAACCGCGGGAAAAGTGTTCAAGCTTGTAGGGTGTTCGATGAAATCTCCCAAAGAGATACGGTTGCTTGGAATGTTTTAATTTCTTGTTACATACGTAACCAACGCACCCGAGATGCTTTGTGTTTGTTTGATAATATGAATAGCGAGGAAAATGAGTGTAAGCCGGATGATGTTACTTGTTTGCTTGTTCTTCATGCTTGTGCCCAGTTGGGCGCATTAGAATTTGGTGAGAAAGTTCATAGCTTTATCGAGGAACATGGGTATGGTGATGCTAAAAATGTTTGTAATTCTCTTATAGCAATGTATTCGCGGTGTGGGAGTTTGGATAAGGCTTATTGGGTGTTTAAGGGTATACGAGAGAAGAATGTGGTTTCGTGGAGTGCTATGATTCATGGTTTTGCTATTAATGGGCATGGGAGAGAGGCTATTGAAGCATTTGAAGAGATGCAAAGAAGGAGTGTTTTGCCGGATGATCAGACTTTTACTGGGGTTCTTTTGGCTTGTAGTCATTGTGGGTTTGTTGATGAAGGAATGATGTTTCTTGATCGTATGAGCAAAGAGTTTAATATATTACCTAATATACACCATTATGGATGCATCGTTGACCTTTTGGGTCGTGCTGGTTTGCTTGATCAGGCTTATCAAGTTATAATGTCAATGGAGGTCAAACCTGATTCAACTATATGGAGGACTTTACTTGGTGCTTGCAGAATTCATGGACATGTCAATCTTGGTGAACGTGTGGTTGGACAATTGATTGAACTTAAGGCTCAGGAAGCTGGAGATTATGTTTTGTTGTTGAACATATATTCGTCGGTTGGAAATTGGGAGAAGGTGAAGGAACTGAGGTGTTTTATGAAGGAGAAAGGAATCCAAACTACTCCTGGTTGTAGTACAATTGAACTGAAGGGAGTAGTACACGATTTTGTTGTGGATGATGTTTCACATCCACGAAAGGATGAGATCTATGAGATGTTAGATGAGATTAATAAGCAGCTGAAAATTGCTGGTTATGTTTCTGAAATAACATCTGAATTGCACAACCTGGCTGCAGAAGAAAAGGGGTATGCACTCTCTTATCATAGTGAGAAATTGGCTATTGCTTTTGGGGTTCTTGTAACTCCGCCGGGCACAGCAATCAGAGTGGCCAAGAATCTGCGAATTTGTGTTGACTGCCACAATTTTGCTAAGGTTCTTTCAGGAGTTTATAATCGAGAAGTTATCATTAGAGATCGTACTCGGTTTCATCATTTCCGGGAAGGACATTGCTCTTGCAATGACTATTGGTAGGGTATTAGAGGTTGGAGAATATACTCTTAAAATATGATACATGAGGCAACTGAGATATTATTAACTGCCAGAGCTAGGCTTGGCTTTAATTCTACCGATGGTCCGATGCCCTCTTGTATGGATCATGTAGAGAAGTATTTTTCTATTTCCTTGGCAGAGAAGATAAGGATTTAAAAGCTCCAAGTCCACCAATAACTAGGAACAAGTAAATTTCTGACACTTGTGAAGATTGCAAATGCTGATTCGGACTATTCTGGAATCCTACCCTGTATTCATTGGACAAGTTGCAAAAATGAGTCATGAACTATATTCATATACTGTCTTGTTCTTGATGGCTCGATTGGGGAAGATTGACTGGTAAAGGGAAGAAATGTATATTCAGCAGAGAATGGGAAAAGAAAAATTAGTAACTCTGATGATTGTAGTTCATACTTTCATATCTTTAAATAAAGGACAAAGGCTTCAGCAGTGGAAAACTTTTTGGTGTTTGGACTATGGCAAATTATTGCATCTGCAGCAAGAATAATTCTATGTTGGGGGAGAAATGATCTACATGGAGGGGAAAAAAAAGATATTTAATGTCATTAATAGAGGTACTAAACTCATGTATGTTTTCAGCACTTCTTATTTGAGCAACTATTTTCTGGTGATCCCATCCCAGCCCAAAGGGCAAGGCAAACTCTTCGACTTCGTTACGGTATTGTTGTATGAACTGTCAACAGTGACTTAACAAATTTATCTGTTGATTAGCTTTTATTTTGAATGATAAATAAATTTATCTGTTAATTTGGTTTTGTTCGGCCATTAGCTTATGTTTAAACATCACGGTAGGCTAACAATCTCTAAAGCCTATCCCACTTTACATAATCAGAGACACAAGACAGCCCAAGTTTACATTTTTGACAACAGCAGCATTTTCTGAGAGATTTCAGAATCCAGCAAAAGGATTCCATAAAGGGTTCAGATCTTTCAAAATTAAAAATTCTCAAAACTTGCCTACCATAAGCCAAGAGTATTTAAGAAATATAGCTCACCTGCCGCATTATTCAAAATTCTCAAGTACTACAACGCTTCGATGAAAAATGCTTATGCTTACATTCTTCGAATCTACAACAGCAACATACCCACTCTAAACTTTCATGTTTTTGCTTCAAGATTTTGCACGAAGAAATGAAAATCTTCCCATTCTACAAAAATGAAACTACCGAGACACGATAAATCCACAACAAAAATAACCAGACTCATCAATTCTTCTCTTAAGCATTGTATTTTAATATGGTTAGAGCTTCAATACTTTAATCCTAAGCAGTAACCGCTTGCTTCTGCACAAAAGCAATTCCCTTCTCAATGCTGCCCTTCAATTCAGGCTTGAGAGCATCCAGAGCCTTCTGTTCATACTCGGTCAATCCTTGGAGATCAGATGAAATCAAAGCTTCAACACCTTTCCTTCCAAGCTTAACCCTTGATGCAAATAATGGAAGCTCAGTCAGATTTGATTCCACATAAGCACACTCATAGACGTCCCCATCTCCATCCAGTGCACGAAGAGAAGACTCAACAAATCTTGCTGCTGCATATGCCATTGAAAGTGTAGCAGATCCTGCACCAGCCTTTGCCTCCACAACTTCAGTTCCAGCATTCTGGATCCTAACAGTTAGCTCTTCCACTTCTTCATCGGTAAAACTGACAGAGGGTTTTGTCTTTGACAGAAGGGGTAAAATAGTTATCCCGGCATGTCCTCCGATAACTGGAACATCAACATCAATAAGCTTAAGATTTTTCTTTTGAGCAACAAATGTGTTTGCCCTCACAACATCCAGTGTGGTAACGCCAAATAGCTTCTTTGGATCATAAACACCTTTCTGTTTCAGAACTTCCGCAGCAATTGGCACAGTAGAATTAACTGGATTACTGATAATATGGATGAAGGCATCAGGGCAGTTTTCAGCAACAGCCTCAACCAAGGTTTTTACTATGTTGGCATTGATGTTGAAGAGGTCATCACGAGTCATCCCAGGTTTTCTTGGAACACCAGCAGGTATGACAACAACATTCACACCTTTCAAACAGTTTGCTAATTCAGAAGCTCCTGTATAATCCAGAACTTGAGAGGGAGTATTGCAGTGACTGAGATCGGCAGCAACTCCCTTGACATTTGCTATATCATAGAGATGCAAGGCTGACACTAATGGAGACATCTTGACAAGAAGTGCCAAGGGTTGACCGATCCCTCCAGCGGCTCCAAGAATTGCCACTTTGAATGAAGCCTGGGGCTGTAGGCCATACTGAGTCTGGTTGGGTTTTTGGGCTTTTCGTGCAAAAGAGCTTCGAAGTGCTTGAGCAGTCTCCTTGCTCATGAAAGAGGTCTCTGATTCACAGCTCACAAATGTTGCTGCCTTGAGACCACTGAAATTTGCAAGTGAATTCTTGGAGTTGAAACGCACACCAAAGGGCTTTGAATGTGGAAGTTGGCTCGCTTTGGGGCCAAAGGAGATTGCCGATCCAACTGAAAAGGTAGTTGCTGATGTTGCTGCCATCTCACACTCTGCACAAAAGAAAACAAGTACAAGGACCTCATCTATTGAAATGTATAACAGCAAGGACAACAAGCTGAAAATGCAAAGTCTCCAAAAAGAATCGCAAGGATATACATGACACTATTACATACCTAAATATGACTGCCAATTTCCATACATAACAGAAACAGACAACTTTAAAATGAGCTGAAACATCAAACGGTGATACAATCTAACCTTGGAAGGTTTCCAGAGGAAGACAAGAGAGGGAGGGCAAGAGCATTATTGTTGTAACAATAGTTTCTTAAACACAAGATGTTCCTTACTTGACACTGTGTTTGGTTAACAAATGTTAAAATAAAAAATTGTTAAACTATATTCACGAAAAATAATCAATTAGTACTATAGAGTACTAGATATCCAAAAAAAGCATCAAACTATGGTTGGTCAATTTAGTTGCTAAGAGAGTGTTCAGGCTTCAGTGTGCATTTGTGAGAACCATTTCTGCTTCTTTACCTCAAAGAAACACTTCTTATTTATTTCAGCAAAATATATCAACATAGGCAAGAAAACACTTTTGACAATCTAGAAACACTCCCAAACAGAATTAATGGTCCATTCGGCATGCTCTTAGAGAAAACTCTTTCAACCAAAAATACTTTAAATCACTCTCTCTATAAGGGTTTCTTAATAAAGTACTTCAAGCACTCTTTCATCAGATAAATCCCTTTCTAGAAAATCAACACACCTTAATACTCATTTATATCTATTTCAAGCAAACACTAAATAGAAGAACACAACTTCCAAACAAATGGCACAATTCAATCCCTATGTCTCGATTAAAAAACATAGTTTATTCAGCTATACAATTCTTTCACACGGTTGGGATTCAGATATAATAGAGACATAAAAGAATCTGATACTAATCCACTAATATAAACAAATTTCAAAGAACTACCCTCGCCTACACTACAAAGTGATTTCACGACCTTAAACGTAACGTTGTTTATTCATTCATTCTATATATTATAAAACTATCAACATTAAAAAAAAAAAAAAAAAAAAAAAGATAAAATCTCGAAAATTGCGAGTCAATCGATTTAGAGATTGAAGTAAAGAGAACCTAAAAATGACAGATCTGAAGCCCATAACAGTATGAAAAGTGCTAAAATTGAAAGAAATGTAAAGAAATAAAAGCAGAGAAGGGAACCTTGAAGAAGAGAGAGTGACCGAATCTGTGTTTGGTGAGTGAAAGGAGAGAGCGGTTTGAGAGAGTTTATAAGGAGATTTTGGGTTGAGTGTATGGGTTTCTCCGCCAATGGGCCTTGAACGAATCTACGCTTTTTCTGTTTCAAACAGCTGTGATTTTTACTATTTTTATTTTTATTTTTTTTCTATCCATTTTTGCTTTTTATTTTATATCCTGGCCGTTTCTTTTTGACGGCCAGGATTTAAGACCCGAAAACAAAATGTGTTATTTATTCGTAGTATAAAAATTTCTACATACTCTCTATTATGTCATGACAAAGACAAGTACCTACCCTTGAATTGGATTAATATAATACAACTTGCCTAATTATCATTAAACTATATGGTTATTTGTCTTAATCAATTTTTTAATTTAATCCAACTACGTTCAGTTCAAGTCATAAACTTTTGTTCTATATATGAATTCGGTTTACAAATGACAAACCGGGCCATAGAAAGTGTAGTTTAAAACAAGAGATCATCAATCCAAATTCATCTATAAAGTTGTTCCTATTACATAATTGAAGCAAGTAGCCATGAAACTACAGCCAATTTTCTTACAATTAATTAAGTTGTGGAATAAGCAAAATGACATAAATCCATTTTTATTTCTCACACTCTCAGCTTCTCCATCTCCTTTCTTAATGCATTGGCTCTCACCAAGCTCCCAATTGTATTCACAGCCAACTTCAAATCATCCAATGGGTTCCCAGGCACCACCTTCTTGTACAAATAACTATCAAATGTCATCTTCTGCACATACTCATCAGCACACATCTCCACAAACGCTTCCCTCGCCGGATTTGATCTATAAAATACTTTCTGCAACACATCCAGCACCTTATATGTTGGCCAATATGTTTTATCCCACTTCTCCAAGTACTTCCTCAAGTCTCCTTCATCAATCATTCTCTTCCCCTGCTCTGACCCTTCAACAATGGCCTCGGCGCACATTCTCCCACTCTTCGCCGCAAAGTAGATACCTTCACCTGAGCATTTTGTGACATACCCGGCAGCATCCCCGACCAATGCTACTCTTCCTGATAACCTCCGTGGCCTTGGGTGCTCAGGGATCGGATGCGCCTCCACTCTAATGATCTTTCCTCCGAGGATTTTATCCTTGGCTCGTTTCCTGGTTGCTAGTTGGAACTTCTTGATGTCACCCTTGTGTGTCACCGTGCCTGTACCCACTGCCACATGATCACACTTGGGGAACACCCAACCATAGAAGTCCGGTGACACATCATCCCCAACGTACATCTCAGCCAGGTTCTCATAGTATATCATCTTCTCATCAGGGATCCTCACTCTTTCCTGGAATTAATTACAAATCTAAATCATAATCCAATAAGCATTCAACAATCACACCATTATTATCATGAACTATCAGGTAATGAATAGAAAACAGTCTAGACATTCCATTAAAACTCAAACTTCATAATCAATTTCAACCTTTCGAAACTCAATACATCTCTTGCTATGAATAATACAGGACACAAAAGATTCGATCCAAACTCTATACAATAATAATGCAATAAAAGTCAATTCAATCAGTAAGGGTGAATGAAGCAAAACTTGTACAGGAAAGTCTCACCCCTCAGCATGGTGAGACTGTCTAATAATACAAAGACACATTAATTTTCAAAACCATCTCTTATGTTGGTGGTTATAAGTAAATGACAATGGATAGTTATTCATGAATCATGGTAAGAAAATTTGATAAATATATGGCGAGATATATTTATATCTCATCGGATGGTGTCACCACCGTGTAACTATTTCTTGGGTGAATGATACCTTAAACGAATAATGCCAAGTATCTTAATTTATATGAATGAGTTTGTATATACTAGCATTACAATTTATAAAAACTGCAGCAACATTTCTAATCAGAGACAGAGAAATGAAGATGTAAAGTACCTGGAATGCAATTGCGTAATCATAGTCACCAGCATTAATGGATTTAGCGACCCTGGAGTTTGCACCATCGGCTCCAATCACAGCATCAACTTCCAGCCTTCTCTTCTCACCCATCCCGCCCTTCTTATTATCATACTCGGTATAATACAAAACGTACGGCTCCTTGTTGTTCCTGGGAAAATCCATCTTCAAAAACAAACCATTTATAACGCTCGCCCCGTTCTTCTCCGCCCTCTCTCTCAAATACGCGTCCAAAACCTCCCTCCTCACCATCCCAATATACTCGTGCGGCTTCAAAGTCTGCCCAATATCCACCGCGATATTAGACGGCGATATCATCTTCATCTTCGTAACTTTCCGGTCAATGATGTCCAACGGGAGGTCAAACTCCCCCACCATGCACAACGGGATGGCCCCACCGCAGGGTTTGCAATTGTCGAGCTTACGTTCGATCAGGTACGTCTCAATGCCATTCTTCGCCAGGGTTTCGGCGGCGGACCCACCGGCGGGTCCGCCCCCGATGACTGCCACGCGGAGGTTGCGGTTGGAGAGCTTGGGGCTGGTTCTACTGGCGGAGACTCTGAAGCGTTGTTGCTGATGTGGAAGTGTGAGTGGCTGGGTGGTGAAGTGGGGAGGGTCCGACGTAGAACGGCGGAGTGCGGTGAAGGATTTGAGGGCAACTGAGGCCATTGTTTTGGAGGTTCAGTGGAGACCGAGTGAGTGAGAGTGATGACGTTGGGGGGGTTTTGTTGCGTAATGCGTTTTTGGTGGATATGGTTGGGGATTTTGGGGGGACTGGAGCCGTTGGATTGGGAGAGTGGAGGGTGAAGATTGGATGTGGATAATGGAAATAGATTTTTGGGATGAGTTTTAGGCAGAATTTGGCAATAGGGTACTGTGTTTAATAGTGTGTTGTCTTAATCAGATTGAGTGGCTGATATTATGACACGTAAGATATTTTAAGTTCACTCAGTCAAAGAGAGATTTCATACATGGTATATATTTCATGAAAAAATCCAGTTTTATCTTATTATAATTTATTTTGAAATAACAAAATAGTGAGAATAGGACGTCAAACACGACAAGACATTTCGTAGTTTATCAAGTGAGATTCATTATTAGACTTGCGGATCCATTATATATATATATATATATATATATCATGTGTTGATGTTTGGGTTGACAATACTTATATAATTTCTTTTACATCACATAAATGATTAATTTGACATGTCATCAATTGTGCAATAGTAGGAAATTCACAATATTTGACAAGAAATATAAACCAATAATAATTAATTAGGCAATGATTCGTATAAAGTTTGTGTTATCAAGTGGTAAGTTGCAGCTGGTCAACCCACCATGACCATCTGAAGTTTTGAAATTGAAGCACTAAATAAACTATTACTTTCATTTCATCAACTCAACCAAAGTATAATTTCCCAAGATGAAATATATAATATTCGTCCGTTTATTTTTTATTGGATTTTTGATATTTTTAAAGTTAGGTGGGAATAACGAGGTAGGATTTAAAAATTAATAAAAAACTCTTTTATATTTGCTAATTTACTAAACAACTCAATATATAAATTTTTTATAAAATAACAAAAACACTCCCACTCACAGTTGCCAGATTCCGACCACTACCGTCGGAATTTGGCGTTACGACTCACGATCAGCCGGATCTGGCCGTTTGTGTGCCGATATGGCATTTTCCGATTAGATCTACCACGAATCTGGCTAGAAAAGGCCAGATCTACGACTATTTCTAACCATCAGCGACAGCCAAGATATGGTTGTCGTTGACGACTAGCTAGCATTTTTCAGCCAGATCCAGCCAGAAAATGATAGATCGGCATACTACTGACCAGATCCAGTCGATAGTGTGCCATTATACCAGATTTTGACTACCTTCTGATGGTAGTGGCCGAAATCTAACAAATGTGGGTGGGTGAGGGTGTTTTTGTTAATTTTTAAACTTTTTTTCTGAAATTGTTTAGTTAAATTAATAAACTTAAGAGATTTAAAATATAGTTAAAAAAAATATAATAGTATTTTAAAAGTAATGAAACAAACAATTATTTTGAGGATAGGATTGGAAATAGGATATAAAATAATGAAACAAACGGACCTAAACAACGTTACACAATCTAGAAGTAAACTAGTTGTTCCTCTTCCTCAGCGTTGAACAATCAAATTTCTCATAAAAGATGTCAAGTTTGAATTAGAATTCGTGAAGATATTCTGAGGAATTTGAACAGACGAAAAGATTGGAAGAAAATGAAAGGGCTGCAGAATGTGACTTTGGTAGGTGAACTCACCATAACAACTCACACAAACATTGTTTTGTTGCTCACGCTTCTTATTCACACAATATTTGCTCAGACTCAGATTCATGAAACTCAATACCGGTGTAACAAAATCATAAAGTAGTTGCAGTAGGTTTGAATCTTTGGCAGTTGGTTCATCAAACTATTTAACCTCTCAGCAAACTCCCTGTATTGCTTGTGCAGAAAGTTTTCTGAAACCTTCCTCCTTTTAACTTTACTTTCATATGCATAAATCCAAACTCAATTCTTTCACAAACATAAACACATTTTTCTGTCAAACATGAAGCTCACGGCGCATCTAATGATTCTGATTGTCACCCTTTTCGGGTCTGCCATTGATGGCTACCATTGCAAAGTTGTTCAGTTCATTTTCGGTGACTCCCTTTCAGATGCCGGTAACAACAAGTACCTCTCCAGGAGTCTTGCTAATGCAAACCTGCCCTGGTATGGTATTGATTTTGGCAATGGGCTGCCTAATGGCAGGTTCACCAATGGCCGCACTGTTGCTGATATAATAGGTAAATGTTTATGACTTTCAAATGTTTAAGCTAGTTTTTCTCCGAGGAAACTAAATTTATTCCAATTTTCAGGTGACAAGACTGGTCTCCCAAGACCGCCAGCATTTCTGGATCCATCTTTAACTGAAGATACCATATTGGAAAATGGAGTAAATTATGCCTCTGGTGGTGGTGGGATTTTGAATGAAACTGGTGGTTACTTTGTAAGTTGCAACCGTTTGATCATACTTCATTTTTTACTCCATAGATTACTAAAATTTGTATGGCAAGACAACAATAGCTCTAAGATTGATCCATAACTTCTTTCAGATTCAGAGGTTGTCACTCTATAGGCAAATTGAGCTATTTCAAGGGACACAAGAACTTATAAAAAGCAAAATTGGCAACCAAGAAGCAGAGAAGTTCTTTCAAGAGGCCCGTTATGTGGTTGCTTTAGGAAGCAATGACTTCATCAACAATTACTTAACAGGAGTTTACAGTGATTCATGGAATTACAATGATAAAAGTTTTCTTGACTACTTAATGGAAACACTTGAAGCACAACTCAAGGTAAATTCAACTAGAAGCTATCATCTTTTTTCTTTTTTCGCTTCTCCGAAATATTATGTTTCTGATTGAAGCATGTTCTTCCTTATAGATATTGCACAAGTTGGGGGCTCGGCAATTGATGGTGTTTGGGCTAGGGCCCATGGGTTGCATTCCACTCCAAAGGGTTCTAAGTACAGATGGGAGCTGCCAGCAGCGAACCAACAAACTGGCTATTAGCTTCAATCAAGCTGGAAGCAAGTTATTGGATAATCTGTCAACCCAACTTGCTAAAGCAAGCTTCAAATTTGGCGATGCTTATGAAGTTGTCAATGACGTTATTACCAATCCGCAAAAATATGGTATGTAAATATGCTCTTCCCTTTATCAAATTTGAGGACTATTTATTTTTCCTGATACTTCCAAATTGGATGGTTCCAGGATTTAATAACTCTGATTCGCCATGCTGTTCATTTGGGAGAATTCGACCGGCTCTTACATGTTTACCTGCATCATCGCTGTGTAAAGACAGAAGCAAGTATGTGTTTTGGGACGAATACCACCCATCAGATAGTGCTAATGAGCTGATAGCTAATGAGCTCATCAAGAAGTTCGGATTTCTCCGCGTCGATGCTCCATCTCCTGCACCTGCTTTCGGTCCATCCTCAGAGACAGATGAATAACCTATTGTTCCATAAAAGCTACAAATAACTGTGAGGAGAGCAGCTTCTTTGCATTCTTCAGTTGTTAGCCGTCCGTTTATTTTTTATTGGATTTTTGATATTTTTAAAGTTAGGTGGGAATAACGAGGTAGGATTTAAAAATTAATAAAAAACTCTTTTATATTTGCTAATTTACTAAACAACTCAATATATAAATTTTTTATAAAATAACAAAAACACTCCCACTCACAGTTGCCAGATTCCGACCACTACCGTCGGAATTTGGCGTTACGACTCACGATCAGCCGGATCTGGCCGTTTGTGTGCCGATATGGCATTTTCCGATTAGATCTACCACGAATCTGGCTAGAAAAGGCCAGATCTACGACTATTTCTAACCATCAGCGACAGCCAAGATATGGTTGTCGTTGACGACTAGCTAGCATTTTTCAGCCAGATCCAGCCAGAAAATGATAGATCGGCATACTACTGACCAGATCCAGTCGATAGTGTGCCATTATACCAGATTTTGACTACCTTCTGATGGTAGTGGCCGAAATCTAACAAATGTGGGTGGGTGAGGGTGTTTTTGTTAATTTTTAAACTTTTTTTCTGAAATTGTTTAGTTAAATTAATAAACTTAAGAGATTTAAAATATAGTTAAAAAAAATATAATAGTATTTTAAAAGTAATGAAACAAACAATTATTTTGAGGATAGGATTGGAAATAGGATATAAAATAATGAAACAAACGGACCTAAACAACGTTACACAATCTAGAAGTAAACTAGTTGTTCCTCTTCCTCAGCGTTGAACAATCAAATTTCTCATAAAAGATGTCAAGTTTGAATTAGAATTCGTGAAGATATTCTGAGGAATTTGAACAGACGAAAAGATTGGAAGAAAATGAAAGGGCTGCAGAATGTGACTTTGGTAGGTGAACTCACCATAACAACTCACACAAACATTGTTTTGTTGCTCACGCTTCTTATTCACACAATATTTGCTCAGACTCAGATTCATGAAACTCAATACCGGTGTAACAAAATCATAAAGTAGTTGCAGTAGGTTTGAATCTTTGGCAGTTGGTTCATCAAACTATTTAACCTCTCAGCAAACTCCCTGTATTGCTTGTGCAGAAAGTTTTCTGAAACCTTCCTCCTTTTAACTTTACTTTCATATGCATAAATCCAAACTCAATTCTTTCACAAACATAAACACATTTTTCTGTCAAACATGAAGCTCACGGCGCATCTAATGATTCTGATTGTCACCCTTTTCGGGTCTGCCATTGATGGCTACCATTGCAAAGTTGTTCAGTTCATTTTCGGTGACTCCCTTTCAGATGCCGGTAACAACAAGTACCTCTCCAGGAGTCTTGCTAATGCAAACCTGCCCTGGTATGGTATTGATTTTGGCAATGGGCTGCCTAATGGCAGGTTCACCAATGGCCGCACTGTTGCTGATATAATAGGTAAATGTTTATGACTTTCAAATGTTTAAGCTAGTTTTTCTCCGAGGAAACTAAATTTATTCCAATTTTCAGGTGACAAGACTGGTCTCCCAAGACCGCCAGCATTTCTGGATCCATCTTTAACTGAAGATACCATATTGGAAAATGGAGTAAATTATGCCTCTGGTGGTGGTGGGATTTTGAATGAAACTGGTGGTTACTTTGTAAGTTGCAACCGTTTGATCATACTTCATTTTTTACTCCATAGATTACTAAAATTTGTATGGCAAGACAACAATAGCTCTAAGATTGATCCATAACTTCTTTCAGATTCAGAGGTTGTCACTCTATAGGCAAATTGAGCTATTTCAAGGGACACAAGAACTTATAAAAAGCAAAATTGGCAACCAAGAAGCAGAGAAGTTCTTTCAAGAGGCCCGTTATGTGGTTGCTTTAGGAAGCAATGACTTCATCAACAATTACTTAACAGGAGTTTACAGTGATTCATGGAATTACAATGATAAAAGTTTTCTTGACTACTTAATGGAAACACTTGAAGCACAACTCAAGGTAAATTCAACTAGAAGCTATCATCTTTTTTCTTTTTTCGCTTCTCCGAAATATTATGTTTCTGATTGAAGCATGTTCTTCCTTATAGATATTGCACAAGTTGGGGGCTCGGCAATTGATGGTGTTTGGGCTAGGGCCCATGGGTTGCATTCCACTCCAAAGGGTTCTAAGTACAGATGGGAGCTGCCAGCAGCGAACCAACAAACTGGCTATTAGCTTCAATCAAGCTGGAAGCAAGTTATTGGATAATCTGTCAACCCAACTTGCTAAAGCAAGCTTCAAATTTGGCGATGCTTATGAAGTTGTCAATGACGTTATTACCAATCCGCAAAAATATGGTATGTAAATATGCTCTTCCCTTTATCAAATTTGAGGACTATTTATTTTTCCTGATACTTCCAAATTGGATGGTTCCAGGATTTAATAACTCTGATTCGCCATGCTGTTCATTTGGGAGAATTCGACCGGCTCTTACATGTTTACCTGCATCATCGCTGTGTAAAGACAGAAGCAAGTATGTGTTTTGGGACGAATACCACCCATCAGATAGTGCTAATGAGCTGATAGCTAATGAGCTCATCAAGAAGTTCGGATTTCTCCGCGTCGATGCTCCATCTCCTGCACCTGCTTTCGGTCCATCCTCAGAGACAGATGAATAACCTATTGTTCCATAAAAGCTACAAATAACTGTGAGGAGAGCAGCTTCTTTGCGTTCTTCAGTTGTTAGCAGAATCAATACGTATTAATGTTTTTGTAATTGTTTCTTCATTTGTCACAAGTAACAGTGATGAGGTTTTGAGTTGAATTATAGTAAAATTCTGAAGAATATATAATTCTTCTATTTTATGTTATGTACTCATATAAATTAATTAAATGTGATCTCAATTGAATAATGCTGATTATCACAAGTGATTGCTCAGGATTGGGGGATTTGGCCTCTGTTGTGTGTTTCAGGTTTTGGAATTGCTTCTCAACATATCAAATTCAAAAAATCTAATTAAAGCTACGGCATTGCGCCATTAGTTTCTTGCGTTAAGATATTCTACTTAATCCACAATAATTATATCTGGATCTGATTAGAGCATTCTTTGTTATAAATTGAGCCCAGTTGGGCAATCAAAAGTCAGTATCAAATTCTCTTTAGGATCGATCACAGTAGAGGGAACACCTATTCTGGTATCAACTTTATTGCCAATGGCTGCTACCTTGTCCATCTGGTTTGATCTGCATTTTTTTATTGCACAAAAAATCCAAGGAAGCAACCACAACATATTCTAATCAAAGATAAGCTTGTATAATTTATAAGATATGTGTGTCCACACGTTTATCAACTATACTTTGTTGTCCATTACAAGGATTATACTTGCGGCCGAAACTATATGATATTCGAATTCGACTATCTTGCAATTGTTAAGGGAGAGAAGCATTCAGAAAACTGTGTGCAATTGAAAGTGAATGCATAACACCTCATAATCCACTTTCTCTCCACTAAGCTGAATGTAAAAATGGTTTGAGATATTTACATTTTGGTTTTTTTGAGTGGTTTGTCTAACCAACATGTGTATTATAAACAATGCGGTATTGGACTTTCTCTTTCTGGGAACTTTGGAAAAGCATTTTTCAGGTCTTGTTGCTATTTGCTTTTTAGCACAAATTAGGATAAAGCTCATTCAAAGGCAAGCAAATTTGACGGTATAGGATGCATGGATTATGTTTATGGTTGGTTGCATTCTTCGTCACGTAAGCCACTGGTGTCCCTTTTCTTTGTTTTTATATATTTTCCCTCAAAGGAACAGCACAGAAGCTTCAAATGCTGTCATATAGATGATAGATTAACATCACATAATGAACATACAAGATATAAAATGAGAAAATGACTTGCTGATAATAGACACAAGTACAGAACACTTTGTTCAAATTTCGCTCTAAAATTACCAAGGAAAGCACCCCAGAGTAGTAACAAACTTGTAATTGCAACCAAAGTTTCAGAATCTTAAGTGTAACATTCAGAATTATGGAACTTGGGGCTGCAGCATCCAGTTCCAGAAAAAAAATCCCGATTCAGAACTACTGCTAGCTGCCAAGTACCAACTCATGTTTCATTCATTAAAATCCAGTAGGGGTGTATGATGGGGTAAGGAAGCATGTTGGAGGAAGAGAACATGCGCTCATGCTTTGGCATCAAACATACATAATAGGAACTGGTATTTATATTCATACATAAAGATCAAGACAACATAATAATACTTACAATATTGCACTGGAAGCCACTCCAATTACTTCTCTTCTTACTCCCAAGTAGTTTCTCATAATACTTTCCACCTTAATTTTACCTAGTTTATCAAGTACTCGATCCTCGACCATTTAAAGAAGAAAGGGAATAAAGAACTTCCTAAACAACTAAAATCATGCTTAATTTTTTTATCTACTACTTAAGTTACTAACTAGAGTAGCTCATTCCTCAACAATCAACGCAGCCTCTCCCAAGTTGTGCCCTTGGAGTGTGGCGGTTGTTGGCCCCTGATCCTGGATAATCATTCAGCTCCACGCCCATCCTTCCAAGAATAGTTTTTCCCTCCCAACTTCTCTCACCAGTCACCTGTATTATCAACACAAAGAAAATGCATAAACACACCGATCAAACTTAAAACACTACAACTTTGACGGCAGATAACGATGAGATAAGAAGTACCAGGCGGGTTTTCTCTGGAAGTTGATCATCAGCTTGAGATCCATGCATTAAGTTTCCAGTTCCTGCAAATACCAAAATGTTAGGGTGATGAAAATACAGGAAGATAAAGTATTGGACTGGTGAAAAAGTTAATTACTTGAAACTGGGACTGCATTCAAGCATACAATTAGAAGAGAAAACACCAATGAAGTTACAAGCAGTAGACGAATGAGAGAGCCTGCAGCCATTTCTGAAACAAGATTCTTTCTTGTGCACTAAGTACTACTTCTCTGAATGCTGCTGTGTCTCATAAAGCAAGAAGTCTCAATTTATACATTTACATGAGAGATTTCTGGAAGTTTATGATGTTGGAAAAGGAAGAATTAAATGATATTTACCAAAGTCAAAAAGGTGAAAGGAAACCACAAATTGTGGGGGCTTAACGCCTTTCATAAAGAGTGTGAATGTGAACCATAGATATAGATATGAAAACCAGACAACAGTAAAGTTGGTAATGAGGTTGGGTAAGTGGGGGATGCCATCAAAATTTTTATATAAGCAGCATTTGCGAAGAAAGATGGAGCACACTATCCAAGTGGAAGATGACACAAGGAAGATAACGTGGCTACATTTCTTCTCCTGCGCTAATTTAAGTCAAGCCCCTAGTGGACATCATCATTACACCCTCCATCACCATGTTCAATGAATTCATTATTCATATTCATTTCGTGCAAAGTGCAAACTCAACCCTAATTTTATCTTATCCCGCATTGTTAGCCAAACAAAATCTGTAATAGTTCACGAGTCTCAATATAATCGAAGAAAAAAATTTGATTTAATTGATTAAATATTATTTGTTTTAGATTTTTTTTTGGATAACCGAAATATCCAGACCAGTTTAAGTGCATTTTAATTAATCTTTAGGACAATTTATTAACTCTTATAATTATGTTTGCTGGAAAGATATGCGACATCAAATTTATGTAGAATAAAAAACAAAATTATGATTGGGTTGATTGGGATTTGTACACATTGATGTCCATGAGAAAGTAAGCATTAAACTCATTAAAATGTTGGGGCACTTAGATTTTGTGCCTTCATTTTAGTGACAAGTGGAAGTTAAACTCATTAAAATGTATAGGCACTCAGATTTTGTGACTTAAATATAGTGGAAAGTGGAGCTAATTGAATTCAGAATATAAACAATGGAAACTAAATGTGGTAGAAGTTTTTTCATGATCGCTGAGATAGCTCTCATATATGTCGGCAAATTTCACTGTAAAACATATTGGTAGCTACTTATGTATTGTTGAATACTCGGCAATGCTATCTAATATGATATCATAAGATCATTTAACCTATCAATCAATTGGTGTAGCATGATTATATGGCTATAGTTTCAAGAAACGTGTTGACGAGGGGAGTAAAATTACCGTGCATCTTCCAAAAGCACGTTGATATTCCTCTTTTGCAGTCAATGGCAAAAGAGACTTGACTTGATTTTCTATTGGAAAATCTAGGTTTCACACTGCAAGAGTATTTTGAATTTCTATGTAAAATCCACCCAATTACATCATGATGCGCTGACCATAACCATTCATCTTGTCCAAGAAATTTCTGTGCTTAAAGCTTTATGAATGAATATTTAGTTTTTAAGTAGTCTTAATCAAAAAAAATAGTGGATTAGGCAGCAAAAGCTTGGAAGATTAGCTGGTTAAGTTCCATCACTTTATGGGAAACAAAGTTTAAGATGAAAGTAAGTTACACACAACTTTATAAAACATTTGCCAAAAGGATGCGGAACTTGTAGCCTAATGAGTTGAAAAGCTTTCATGCAATATTGGTTAAAAAAAAAGTAAAAGCACAAAACGCCAATATATTATTTATTTTACAAACTTTCCTGCCTTCTTCATCATGTCACACATGTCTCATAAGTCAACTCCAACCCTACCTTATGTCATTGCATTGTATGCACCTTTAAACACCTTTTTTTAATGGGGAAGTTAAAATTCAATATATATAGTGACACTTATAATGTTTATTGAAGATATGGTAAATTTTTAAAGACACTGGAGAAGTCAATCTTAAGCATTCTTTTCCAAAGACTCTCTCTTTTTTGTTTTATCATAAGTGTTCTAATGTATATTGAATTTATTGATTGTATATTTGACCAAATATTTTGCAACAGTTGATAACATTATAATTGTAATTCATAACATTATGTCATATATATAATATAGGAATTACAAATTTTAAAAAGTGAATAAATTTGAAATAAGTTACAAAAACAATAATATGAGTTACAAGTTGTCTTAATATATTTTTACAACTTGGACTGTTAGAGTAGGTGCCCTAGAGCCAATCAATTATTGTAGAATTGACTCTTTGTAATAATGTTCATTGATCAATAAAAGACATTTTATTCTATATCGCGTAAATCATTATTATTGTTATATGTATTGATATATGTCCTTAGAATGGTAGAACCGTGACGAGGGTATCAAGTGTTTCAAATCTTAATAGTGAGAACCCTATGAGCGCATATGGTGGCCATTCTAGAAACGTCCGTAGCCCTAGTATTATTCTGAAGTAACGACACAGATAATACGGTAAGGCTATCATAGTGTTGAATGACCCTGTCGAAAGACAGTGACTGATCTTACTTGTCAAGGTTGTTTGGTGACAACCTAGTGCAACACATGGGTGCTTGCTGTAGGCAAGTTCACTGGACTGACCCACCAGAGGATTCCATATGGATGGTAACCCTAGTGTCTATGGAACAAATCCTCTAATGAATGGTGGTTCATGTGATCCTTAGACTTGAGATCACCGGAGCACCTTGTGCACCGATTGGTGTAGTTTGACACTAGCCCAATGCAGTTCTATTCAGAGCTATCAATACAGTAGTGATTGGCTGCATCAAGGAGTGTATCAAGACTATAGTGGATCGACAGAGGATTCATGACTCCCAGGTACGGGGGAAGTTATCTCACGGCACAATTCAGTAAATGAAAATGACACTAAAACTATGGCCACAGTGGGATTGAGTTGTTACTCTATCCAGTTTATAATTCAGGTCATTGGTCTAGTAATTGAATACATAATATCGAGAGTAACCGAGGTTGACACTGTTTCTATGCCCTGGTCTCGTTGAGATAACAGATGATGAAAGGATTGGATTGTACGGTAACCATATCATTGACAGGTAGCTGCTTCGCTGAATCCAAATCTATCAAG